ACATTTGACAAGCGGACTTCTGTAAAAAATAGATGTTATTTGAACATTAATGTTCATTCTCAAAACAGATTTTGGAATTTGGGTTTAGCACAAGTTAATGGATATTTCCCAGCAGAAATATGTGTTAAGTTTATTAACAACCTGCTGAAAAAACACAACTTAAAAATTGATTGCGATATCTTATGTATTACAAAGGATGGCGCATCGGTTATAAAGAAAGTTGACAATTAATGTTCATCAACCAACAGCTTTGTCTAATCCATGGAATCCAATTAGTTGTGGTTGCCGTCTTGTATAAAACAACAGTTGTGGGCTCGACAGATGATTATTTTATATATGATGAAGATAGTTCTGGTGAGATTTCAGATGAATAAAATGAACTTACAAATAATTTGGCTGTATTGATAAGCAAAGTTAGAAAAGTTGTAAAGCTGTTCAGACAATCAAAAAATGAAATCATTCATGTTTATGTAAACACTGAACATGGTAGAGCATGGCCATAAATAATGAGATAAAAATGAAAATAGTACCAAAACAAATCGAAATATTAACAATTTGACTAAAATGATACAAAAAGAAATTTCTATATTTGAGGAAGACGGTTCACGTGGTACCAACTTGAAGTTGGTAAACGATTATATTTTAACAATTCCCCCAAGGAGCTTAGAAACTGAATTTTTTCTCTTCATCGGGAATGTTATGTACGAAAATTCGATCATCTTTGAATAAAGAAATTTTAAATACTTTATATTTTTTGCGGGCCTATTTCAATAATAAATAATTTTTTTTATGCTTTTTTTTTTTTAAATGAATTTATTTCATATATTAGTTTAACTTAAATAATAAAGTTTTGGAACTGTTTGTTTTGTTACTTCTTTTTATTATTATTTTTTGAAAAATTTATAAGTACCGGTATTAATACCGGTATATCAGTTTTCATTAAATCTAATACCAAAATACCGGTGTTTAATTTTTGGTCCAGTATTGAAAGCCCTGGTGAACCTGCATTTTAAAGTTGTTTCAAGGGCCCAAGACACCAGGGGGGCCATGTGCCCCACTTTTTTGTAGTGGAATCTTGCAATAGATTTTTCACTACCTTTCAGACAAACTGAACCTCCGAAAATTTCAGCACTTGTATAGTCCTGATAAACGTGTAAAAGAATTGTTTTCAGGGCAGACTACCAGAAGGTCCATGGGGCCAGGGTACCAGAAGCTGACTTTATTAAAGTAAAGATAACATCTGCTCTAGATAGGCAGAAAAGTTTGTTAAAAGAACCATCAAGTTTATAAACGTTGTTATAATATCTTTAACATATGACAAATTTTAACTTTTTTCTGCCCTCATCATGAAAAGATTTCAATACAATAAATTTTATTTATGATAACAATCCAATGAAATGCAAACACAGTATTTACACTGAACAAACTCACCAAATTCCAATGTACTAAAGTTAGTTTGCTGATTAGCTTAAGAACTTTAAATTTTTTTTTTTTTTTTTTTTTTTAACATCTTCACTTCCAACAAGGCTGCAAGCAACCACTATAAGAGTTGGAAGTTACTGGAAGAGAAAAGACTAAATCTGTAGAGCAAGATAACAATTGACTGATGACTTAAAAGATTGCAAATTATATGAATCAGGAAAGCAAGATGAAGAAAGCGAATTCCAAAGAACTGATGTTCGAGGAAAAAAACTAGAAGAATAAGAGTTTTTGAAGCACTTAGGAACAGTCACAGAAAAAGGATGAGACTTAATTGAATGGCGAGTAACACGAGAATGAATTTTAGTAGATGGCACAAGGGACGCTAGCTCTTTAGAGCAGTGCCCATTATAGTATTTGTAGAAAAGAGAAAGAGAAGCAACATTACGACGATGTGACAAAGGTTGGAGATTGGCTGCCAGAGCAGGTCCAACTATGTTTACAATTCGTTTTTGCACCTTGTCTAAAAGAGAAAGAGCATCATTAGAAGATCCGCCCCAGATGTGGCAACAGTATTCCATACAGGGACGGATTTGAGATTTATAGAGATAGAGAATAGAATCTGGAGTAAGAAAATGTCGAGCTCGATAAAGAGATGCAACCTTAGCAGATGCTAATTTTGCAATGGATTTGATATACGGTTTAAAAGAAAGATCAGAAGTAAGAGTTAATCCTAGAAGATGAATGGTAGATGACTCATCTAGTACATTACCATTCATAAATATAGGAAGATCTAAATTATTACGATAACGATTGGCCGAATAAAATTGAGTTTTATCTGAATTAAAGTTCACCAGCCACTGTGAGCCCCATGCTGTAGCAGAAGTGAGATCCTTTTCAAGCTCAGATACCCCCTCCAAGCAATCAGAGAGTGTAGGCTTCTTATCATGACAAGAGTAAATGGTAGTGTCGTCAGCGAATAATGTTACCTTAGATGTGAGAATATCTGGAAGATCGTTAATGTAAATTAAAAAGAGTATAGGGCCAAGGATTGAACCTTGAGGAACCCCTGAAGTAACAGGATGTAAAGAAGAGTGTTGTCCATCGAGGACAACTTTTATACTACGATTGGAAAGAAAGGACTCAATAATCTTAAAGACATTACCAGCTACACCATAAGAAGAAAGCTTATGGAGAAGACCAGCATGCCAAACTTTATCAAAAGCTTTAGAAATGTCAAGTGCGATAGCCTTAACCTCTCCACCTCTATCTAATGCACGGTAAAACCTATCGGTTATTACTGTTAGCACATCAGCTGTAGAACGAGAAGACCGAAATCCATATTGATGATCAGAAAGTAAGTTATTTGATTCAAGATGAGAGATTAAGTGTTTGTTGATTAAAGATTCAAAAACCTTGCTTATGACAGGAAGAAGACTAATGGGATGGTAGTTAGATGAATCAGATCGCTCTCCGGAATTTTTGAAAATAGGAATAACAGATGCTGCTTTCCAGCATGATGGAAAACAAGACTCTGATAAGCACTTGTTAAATAGTTTAGAGAGTATGGATGAAAGCTCAGGAGAACACCTCTGCAAGACTACAACAGGAATGTTGTCAGGACCACAAGCTGTTGAAGAGTCTAAGCAGGAAATTACTTTAGATACAGAAGCTGAAGTGATGCGAATGTCAAGCAAGGGATCAACCTGTTTGACGGCTATGTCAGGTAAAACGCAACTAGTGGAATCAAGAGATGATATTGATGAAAAGTTCTTAGCAAACAATTCAGCTTTGTCTTTAGGTGAGGTGACAAAGTCTGAACCATACAAGAGAGAAGGAATACTATAAAAAGAAAAAATACCTGTTATATTAATACTTTTTAATTTAAAATTACTTTTTAAAATTACTTTTTATACTGTTATATACTACTTTTTAAATCTTTTCATCTAGATGACAGATTGTTAAAATTTTGTCATCTGTTATTCTAGATCTCTAAATTAATTCTTCTCTGGCATCTTTTCTATAAAAAATCTTTTTAATCAATCTTTCAACAATAAATTAGACTATAACAAATATCATTTGACAGTATTCCAAAATCACATGAATCCATTCTTACTGTAAATTTAACTTCTAAGTTGCATACCAGATTAAAACAAAAATGAGAAAACAATAATAATTAATACAATTAAAGAAACTTAAACACCATGGTAATGGAAAACTAAACAGTGATTGATTTCTTTAATCTTTTTTAATATATGAAAGATAATATTTTGTGTCTTTAACAAGGTTATTTAGTTGCAATAAATTTGTTAATGTTAAAATGTTAACCATGAATTTAATAGGTAATAAATTTCTTTTATACCGGTGTAATGACATACTTTTTTGTTCTTAGTTAATAAAATAACTTGATGTTTACATTTTAGAATTAAATATCAGTTAAAATATTGATTTTCAAAGGTGATAATTTTTTATTGATGTAATTTTATGGCTGGATTTTTTGTTTTTTTACGGCTGCATTTTAGTTAATTAAACAACTTGTTGTTAATATTTTAGCATTAAAAAGTATCTTTTTTTTTCAATTCAAAAATTTTACACTTGAATTTTAAGTAAAACGCTGTTAAAATCATTATTTTAGATGGATGACTGTGCATAATCTCCATACTTGCAAATCAAAATTCTTATAAACTTTGCTAAAATATTTTAAAAAAGATCATTGAATATAGAATGATCAAAAACCGAATGGAACAAATATAAACCTAAAAAATTTTTCAAGACAATATTTTTAAAGTTATATTTACTTAGTAAAAGTCGAAAAAAAAAATTTTATTTTTAAATGGGGCATGGCCCTTGGTGCCTCATCTCATAGGCTATCTGGTCTGCTTTGAAAACAATTTTAATACACATTTATCATTGACAACACAAATGCTGAAATTTTCAGAGCTTTAGTTTGTCTGGCAAGTAAAGAAAAATCTATTGCAAGATTCAGCTACAAAAAAGTATGGCACATGACCCCATCTCCCCCTTTGGTGTCTTAACTCTGGAAACAACTTAAAAATGCATGTTCATCAGCACTACAAAAATACCAAAAGCCCAATATCTGCTAAAAGCAAAACAGCCATACTTTAGGATCTTCTTGGAGCTAGAGGCTAAAATTTTCAAGGAATTTTAATCTCAACTATATGAAAACCAGCAAAATTTCAGATACAAGGTGACATTTTTAAAAATTTCTGGCTCATTGGATATGGAATCGCCTTAGAGATAAAAATACATTCTTTGGAAAGGGATTACAATGCAAACTTATATGAAGATAGACATGGTGGAAACTTATAAACTCCTGGTAAGTTTTATTATTTAATTACTGCTTCTATAATTTTTCCAATAATAACTTTTTGAAAACGTAGCACCTCCAATTTGCATATTATGTTAGAAATACTGTTAAAACTGTACAAATTATTGTTAAAAGAATATAAGACTTTAGATTGTAAGGATGGTTAATCTAGAGAAACTTTCATAATAGTATTATCTTTGTTGCTGTTTTGATAACATAAAAAAAGAAAAAACTTTGAAAATCCAAAACTTACTTTTGCAAACATTAAAACTGTTCCATGATCCATCACATTGCATTGATGTTGGTTTCAAGCCATCTCTTTGTCCACAAATTTTTGTCTCTGTACACCAAAAGCACTAAAATTAAAATTATACAATACTACCTATTGAATTAACCATGTCTTGTCCGATTATTGGAAAAACCAAATAATTAGGTAAAAAACAAAATATTAGGGAGAACCCAAAATATTAGTGAAAATAATGGCAATTTAAATAAAAACATTTAACAAAATTCAGAAAATAATTTGGGATTTTTTCATTTTCATTTGAAGTATTAAAATAAACTATAAATCTTTTTAACACTCACATTAATGTCAGACACACAATCTGAGCATGACGTGTTACTCTTTTGTGAACAAAGTGAGCCTAATTCAAAAAAAATCATAATTTCAATAAAATACTATAACACTTCACCCCATTTTTTTGCATACGCAGCTTTTTCATGTTCAAAATTTCAAAATTTTACAATATTTATACACTTTTGAGAAATATTTTGCCATAATGAAAATATATTGATAAACCATTTAAACTCAACTTCTAATAATATTAATAATATCTAATATATAACAACATATAACAAAAAAATATAATAATATATTAATAATTAATATAAAATATAACAATATATTAATACTATACATAATATCTAATATTATCTATTATTATTTGATTAAGGCAAATGGTTTTGCACTCATGTGATTTGGAAAGGCCTCCATAATGTTATTTTTTATTTTAAATATCCAAATATTGATTATTTTTCACATTTCATAAATTGTATATAAACAAAAATTTCTCAATTAAATAATATTTAAGCAATTATTAAAATACTTATTTTTAATGATTATTTTATTAATAAAAACTAAAATACAAAACTGAAGAAAAATCATCAAATTTAAACCTGCAGAAGTAAAGTAAGCAACAAATGATGAAATCACAAAGAGTTTCAAGAACATTTTAAATATGATATATGCCTTACATCTATTTTATGAAAACGTTTGAAATGATCTGAAAAAAAAAATAGAATTGATATATTTATACAAACAAACTGATGCATATATATATATATATATATATATATATATATATATATATATATATATATATATATATATATATATATATATATATATATATATATATATATATATATATATATATTTAAACAATTTAAAATGTATTCTACAAAAGGAGTGCTCAATGTTCTTAAAAGAACAGAGCAATTACAAATTAGTAGAAAATCACTTAGCAAAATTATTTTCTCATTTAACACTGTGTTTCATCAATAAAGACTCATCAGAAAAGAAAAAAAATTTTCTGATGAGTCTTTATTGATGAAACACAGTGTTAAATGAGAAAAAAATTTTGCTAAGTGATTTACTACTAATTTATATATATATATATATATATATATATATATATATATATATATATATATATATATATATATATATATATATATATATATATGCGCATTTTTTCATAATCCATAATAAATTTTAATACAAAACGACTATTTCTTTACTAATATATCCATCTACTTCATTATTAAATTCTGTCTATAATATTGCCTTAGATACAAGCGATGGCCTTTCCGTAACGGATATTAAAGCCAATTTATAATAGGGTTTTATTAGTATTTATTTACTGTTTATTAATAATAATTTCAGTAACGTTTTTACTTGTACAACTTAAGGCCGTTTTTTTTTCTTTTTTGATAAAAACGATTTCTTTATAACGTATGATCTTAACCTATGATTTTTAACGAATTTATTTTAGCGTAAGATTTATTCATTAATTGTCGGACTACACGGAGACCAAACTTAAACAAGTTCGATGACTTGTAGTCCGATAATTAATGAATAAAAATCTAAAAGAGGATGCACAATTAGAATTATAGTTGTTTTTTTCTTTAGAATAAACAATTTTTGTGTATATAAATCTATAAAAAAACTTGTTAATTTGCAATTTGCTGAAATAATTCGTTAGTAAAGCAAATTTAAAATTTTTAAAATTATATTTTTAAAGGTAAGCTAAGTATTTATTGAAACAATCAAATTTAAAATTTAGGTCAACAAAATTAATTATTGTTGCAAAAAAAAAAAAAAAAAAAAAAAAAAAAAAAAAAAAAATTTAATTATTAACTTTTAAAAAAAAAAATTCTAAAATTCTGTTCAAAAATGAAAATCTTATTATTATTATTATTTTTTACGGCAGAGCGCACAGCCGTCATCACTAAGCAACAAAAGCGACCAATTTTTTTTCCTGTTGCAACTAAAAAAAACAACAACAATATTTTGTTAATAACAATATATTGTTAATAATTTGTTTTTTAGAATAATAACAAATTTTTTTATAATAATAAAAAAAAATAATAATAAAAAAAATAATAAATTTTTTTTGTTAATTTTTGTTATTTTTAATAAAGAGTTGCTTTTAATAAAGAGTTGCTTTTTATACTTACAATACTTGTCAAAAGAAATTTTTTTTATGATATTTATTTTATGGTTTTTAATAAAAACGTAATTTATAATTCTTTTTTTTTTCTAAAAAAAAATTTTTGACAATAAAAGTATGCAGTAAAATTGGACGTATATGGATAACAAAGTGAACATAAACAGAAACAAGAATTTTTTTTTTTTTTTTTTTTATGTTGATTTAGGTGCCCCAAGAAGTCCTTACGGCCTTATCACAGAGCACCGCGGAAGAGCATTTAATAGGAAGTTCACGCCTCCTTCCCAACCGATGCCGCAAAACTTGTCCAGAGGTGGGGTTTGAACCACGGATCTTACGTTTCTGAAACAAGTGCGCTACCACTGCGCCTCGGCTGCTTATAGAATAGTTTTTTGGTTGTCTACAAACTGACAAGGACAGCTGATAGAGCAGTGAAACCTTTTTTCCTATCAAGTATGACTTAGTTTAATAGAGTAAAAGTACCGCAAACCAGACACTCTTCACAAAAAGCTCAATAACTTTTTCAATATTGAGAATTTGCAGCATTTTTTTTTTCCAGAATGTAGTTTATTATTAAAGTAATTCTGTAGTGTAAAAAAAAATATATATGATAATTTCAATTTTCTATAGAGAATAAGATTTTATTTTTTTAAAAAGGGTCTGCTTTTCGGAAAATTGTCCCTAAAAGCGGGCAGTTCCAAGTAATATAAAAAAACATAGATAAATTGATAAATTCAAAATTTTTATTTTTAAAATATACACATAATAATAATACAAGCAGAAAAAACTAGAAAAAAACAAATAAAAAACATATGCAAGCTTGAGCCTGAAATAAAATAAAAAATTTATCAATTAGTTTCTGCAACCTGTCGTGCAAAAGAATTCTTCGCCTTTTATATATCTTTTTGTGAGAAAGGTTCACAAAGCCACAAACTGCAAAACAATTTTTCACAAGTTTTCCATAAAACTTGCATATCTGGCTTTTCATTTTCAAAAAACTTTGGGCACGTTTTTCACTTTTTGTACTTTTTTTGGGATTTCTTGGCAGGAGTTTCTACTTCTGCTACTGCAAAGTCAATATATGTTCGTTTTAATTGCTTCGTGTCTTCTTCTCTTAACTTGTTTAACCATGCTTCTTCTGTAAAAGGTTGACCAGCTACTGTTCTAACAATTTTGGCTTTTTTTGCAGGATATTTGTAAGCGTTTTGGAATTGAAATTGCTTTAAGAGAGCTCTTTTAAGACTGATTTTCACACGAGTCACCAATTCTTTTTGAGAAGTTAAATTTAAAGTTGAAATTGAAGTTTGAGTTGCAAGCGGAATTAAGTTAATTTTGATATGCGGTAGAATTGAGCTGTGCCTTTTAAGCTTAACTCGCCATTTTCAATCTTATTCATTCCGTTTTTTATTGTCTCCTCAGTGTAAGGCTTATGGTTTTTTGTTTTTTTTTTTGCCATTTTTAAGTTTAGTAAATTCAATTCAGTTACAGATTTTTGAAATTGAAGAAACGATGCACTTTTGTGGTTACTTTGTGTACTTTTGCACTTTAACTTCAACAGTATAAGTACAAAACAGACAAAATTAATTAACACAAAAGTGGAAACTTAAAAAAACCAAATGAAAAAAATTCAGAAAAAATTCAGTGTGGAAAAATAATAAAATAAACTTTAACATAATGAAAAAATTCAATTAGAGTGAAAAAATAACAAACAAAAATAATAATAAACATAGCCTATTTAATTTTAATTTATCATAGGGTGGATTTAAGGTAAAAACTGAAGATAATCTTATTTCCGTCAAAACTTTTTAAAGGAGTAAGTTTATGAAACTCTAAAACTTTTTTTAAAATTAGCAAAAAAATTCCAACAAAATGGCTTTGTTTGTTTTTAAATTGCCTTTTTAAATCTTTCATGCTAAGAACCTAATTTCCAAAAAAAAAAGTTAGATTTTTAGGGTTAGGTTTTGCTTGAACTTAAATATTTTATTGAAGCAATCATAAAAATATCTTTTTTTTAAAAATTTATAATTTTCCACACAGTAAAAATTAAAAACTTTTTTAAATTTTTCAAATATCTTTATTTTTAGTGAAGATATTTAGTTTTTCGATAAGCGTCCGCTTTTACGCACTGTCCGGTTTGTGGTATTTTTACTCTATGTTAGTAATATTTTTATTTTGCTTTGACATTACCTATTGCAGTAAATTATGTTAAAAAAAGCCCAAAAATGTAAAAAAAGCCAATTGTTTCAGCAATTCCAGAATTTGAACAGGTTTGATAATTAAGTTTTCCCCAAGTTTAATTAATTCTTTAAGGAATGCAAATAAAAATCTTTTTTTGCAATTGGTTCATAAGGGCCATAATAGAGTTCAATTGACTTCCATTGAACAATCGTAAAACTGTATCCTTTTTTTAATGCCTATTAATTGTCTTTTTAGGTTATCATTTATTTTTTGTTTCACAAGTTATTCTGTTCTTCATTAATCGTTTAAACGGGAAACACTTGGCAAAACCAATTTTTAATTGTGTAAGTTCGATTTACAGTGCAACAAAAAAAGTTTTTTCCGCTTGTTTAATGAGTCCTTCAGTATATACTGAGAAAAGAAGAGACAAGAATGGTCCACTTTGTTTAACACCAACATTTGTTACAAAAGGTTTGTTACTACTGCAAATTACAAACGCAGACTATTTCCTTTGTCAAATGCTTTTGAGGATTCAAAATTTTCTAAGTTACTCGAACGTATAATGTATAATAGGCTAAACAGCTACTTAACAGTAAATAACATGTTGTACAACAAGCAATTTGGTTTTAAAAAAAATCATTCAACTGATCACGCTTTGACCGAGTTAGTAACTCATGTAACCAATGCCTTTAATGATGACCGTTTTACATGAGGAGTCTTTATTGATCTGTCTAAAACCTTTGGCACAGTCAACCATGTCATTCTTTTAAAAACTTGAACATTATGGAATAAAAAACAATAATTTACTATGGCTTAAAGAATACTTATCAAACAGACAGCAATACATTCAATATGGAAATGTTAAAACGACAAAAAGTATAATATAATGTGAAGTTCCTTAAGGCTCAATCTTTGAACTGTTACTGTTTTCTCTTTTAAAATAAATGATCTATCTCTTACATCGAACATATTAAATTTTAATTTGTTTGCAGATGACTCCAATCTTTTTTATTCTCATAGGGATATTAAAACCCTCTTTAAAGTAGTTCATGAAGAAGTAAACAAAGTAAATGAATGGTTTATTTGTAATAAACTTTCACTTAATGTTAACAAAAGTTTATTCTATTTCACAAACCAACCAAAACAGGAAACCTTCCTTTAAAATTACCCAATCTTAAAATCAATAATATAAATATTACTAGGCAAACAACTGTAAACTTTTTAGGTATTATTTCAGACAAAAATTTAACATGGAGGAAACATATAAGCACTCTTGAAAAAAAACTTTCAATAAACATTGCAATGATACATAAAGCGAAACCATTTTTTGTTATAAGATCTTTAAAAAGTTTATATTTTGCTATTATACATAGCTACCTAACTTATGGCAATATCGT